CACACACACACACACACACACACACACACACATATACATGCACACACTCATACATACATACATATACACACACACCTGAATTTGCCTATTCCTCCTTCACAGCCATCTCCCACCTGCTGACTTGTCTCCTCTTCCTCCTTGGGGGAGCCTGGCTAATCCTCCGTAATATAGGCCAAAGCCAGTAACATTACTTTATAACACTCTTCTTCCTCCTCAGGGTATTTAGGATGAATCAAACTCATGGGGCCTCAAGTAACTTGTTCCTGCCTCCCGCTCCATTCTCATTCTATACCTCTCTATGTTCACAGTGCTGGGCTATTCTTGTCACCTTTTTGCTCTGTGGGTAGTATCCCAGGCACCTTCCTATCTCAGGACCTTTGTACTTGCTGTTTATGCTGCAGAGATGTTTTCTTTGGTCCTTTTTACCAGGGTCTCAGGTCAAATGCCATAGCCTTAGGGGCCTTCCTGACATTCATTCAAAACTGGCAGTCCCCCTTCCCCAGATCAGTCATTGCCTTACCACAACCCTCATATTCCTGCATAACACTTGTCACTATCTGGAATGGTTTTCCTATATCTCTCTGTTGGCTCCCCCTCTCTGCATCAGCCCCATGAGATGAAAAGCACAGTGAGCAGTTAGTAAATTTCGGATGAACCAGTAGGTGTTGCTGGGATGAGTGCGCTAGTTGAATCTTCCTAATCACCCAATTCTTGACTGATTCCACAGGGTCCCCAAGGTGGCCTCCTACCTGGAATCTCTTTTTTAATCCAGGCAGGGCCTCCACAAAACCACCCAAGCCCAGTCTGTCCCAGCTATACAGCTGCCAGCTGACTGGTGGCTCCTGACCCGATGCCCTTTGCTTCTTCTCTCCTTTGATCCTCGACCCTGAGTCCCCTGCCTTTCTCCCCCTGTAGAAAGGAATCGGCAATTTATCCTGTTTACCACCAGGGATTATCCTTAATGAGGATTGAGGCCCCCCACCCCACCCCCAAGTCCTTCTGCAGCTGAGCAGGGCTTGCTCTGTGCCCGGGGAGGGGCAGGCAGGGGCAGCACTTCCCTGGAGACCTCTTCTAGGCCTTTCCCTAAGGACGGCTCAGTTTCAAATGTCTGAAAGTTGTTTTCCTAATAAAATGTTTTTGTCAGCTCACTGGGGGTGTGTTAGACAGGCGAAGTCTCTGGAGGACATTCTCACTAGATCTGTTGACTCTATTTCTGAAGCCAGCTCTGTCTCTGACTGATTCTCCCTTTATAGCTGTGTGTCCTCTCTACAGTATGCTTGGGCCTTCCTAGCTTTGGAAACACTTTCATCATCACAGCTCACACATCCCTTGACTTCACAGTCCTGTTTCTGTGTAGCTAGAGAAGAGAAGGTGAATCTGCATGCAGCCTGTTCACTCCCCTGGCCTCTAACCTAAGCAGTTCTTCCCTCCAGATTCCCAATTCCATGACCACCTCCTGGATGGCCACAAATGTTCTCCATTGCTCATTTCTCAAAAGCTGTTTTTCAAGATGCAATTGTTGTGGCTGCTGCCACTGCTGCTCTCTGGGGAGCACTGCCTTGTCAGTGGCAGAAAGTGTGCAGTGGCCGCCAGTGCAGGGCAGAATGTCTGTGTCAAAACCCTCAGAGGTACTGTCTCCAGGGCATGTGTCAGGAGACAGAGTCCACATGTAAGCTGGACTCACTCACGCCTGTGGATTGCAGGAGCTCAGAGTCCTCATAGATGGATATGATATCGGAACAGGCTGCTGGCCCAGGCTCTGCAGATACTCCCTTGCCATTCATTGAAACCCACCCACCCTAGGCTCCATACAAGCCTTTCCTGTAGGTCATTCATGTCATCTCACAGCCCCTAGAGAAGGCTGCCATGACCCTAACATGGTTGGGAGCAGAGGCCTAGCCAGCTCCAGCAGGTAGCCCTCACTGCCCAGCCTGCAAACACAGAGCCACTATTCAGAGCCGCAGCCATGCCTCTGCCAGTGTCCAGCATCTCTGCTTTTCTTCACGGCTCCGTATCTCACCACCCCTCGCTTATGTGCCCCTCATTGGCTTTGTGTCCACTTGCTGGCAGTACGGAGCTTTGCTTGGAAGCCTTAGGCCCTCTGCACTGTGTCCCCTTGTTCCACTCTCGAGTGTGGTATCTGGAAGCAGTGACACTGGGATTCTCACATGTCCATCAGTGCCGAGGACTTAAGTGGGAGCATGGTGTAGCCACTGCACTCCAACTGCCCTGCCCTGTGTAATGAGCACTGCTTCCTTGCCTCCCACGTGTCACAGGGTCAGAGTATGACCTTCCCGTTAGCGCCTGTTGATGGATTCTGTGTCTTGGATAGAGAGAAGCCTCTGCACCCAGCCCACCTCTCGGGCAGCACTGCCACCCTAACCCCCATGCCATTGGCCCCTGCCTGCTTCCAAACACACTGTGCAGACTCCCACCTTGGCCTCTGCATTGGCTGCCCTCCCTCTTCCCCAGAATAATCCCTTTCAGTTGCTCTCCTTCCTGGTCATCTCTCACCACTGGTAGGTCTGCACTGAAATGCCACTCTGCATACAGCTTTCCTGGCCACTCACCTGTCCCTGCCATGTGACCCACCTCACTCCATCTCTTTCACTCCTTTCACCACAGAATGTGCCTGTGTGACCATCTAGCAGCTGTTACCTAACCCCTGTGCCAGAGTGTGAGCCTCTTGAGGGGAGCTTCTAGGTTTGTTCATTGCCCCCCACTCGGAGCTGGCATGAAGCAGACGCTTGGTAAATAGCCACCAAAGGAAGGAATCAGTAGATACCTGCTGTCTTAGTTACTTTTCTCTCATTGCTGAGACTATATACCTGGTAGCCAAAGTTAAAGGAGGACAGGTTTATTTAGCTCACAGTTGGTAGAGGTTTCAAGCCAGAGTCTTAGCTCAGTAGAACCACCACTTCCTGTATAGGTCTCAGTCCATAATCTTCTGGCTCCAAACCAGGGAGGCACATGGCAGAGGGGCAACGGTTCATGGCAGACCGAAGGTAACAACGCAACAAAGGACCTTAATGGCATCTTTTGGCTCCTTTTATCTTATCCAGACTACTTAGGGCAGGTTGAACTCACACCCTTAATCCTAGTGCCCTTGAGCGTAGCATAGCATCGTGAATCAGTTCCAGCATCACACACACGAGATCCAGCCACCTCTGAAAAAGCCCACCTATGACTACATGAGGCTTTGGAGTGACGTCTAGACCCAAACATAACACTTCCCTGTGTCGCTGCCTCCAAAGATGCCGAGTCTCCCTGTGTGGTCTGCAAAAGGCTACAGAAGCCCAGTCCCCACAAGGCTCTGACCATGCTCTGCCTTCTCCTCAGATGGTATCATGGAGCCATCAGCAGAGGAGATGCCGAGAACCTGCTGCGCCTCTGCAAGGAGTGTAGCTACCTCGTGCGGAATAGCCAGACCAGCAAGCACGACTACTCCCTGTCACTGAAGTGAGTATAGCATTGACATACACACACCATCCCTGCAGCACCAGCACAGCATGCAAAGATCCGAAACACTTCTCCTCCTGGGGAAGCTTCTGCCACAAGTTATTTTAAGACTTGGTTTTTAATTTGATGCTACTCTTCTGGGACCCAGAGGAATTGTTATGCTTTCCAGTGCTGCCTTCTCAGAGACAAGGATCTTGTCTAGGGTTTGCTTAAATAGCTGGGAATAGTCTCATGCATGCTGTGAGCTGAGGCCTGTCGGAAGCTCTGACTGTTCCTTTCTTAAATGTCGCTATAGCCCTCCAATGAGTAGATTGTCCCCATTCTGCAGATTGGGAAACTGAGGCTCACGAGGGGTGTGGCTGGCCCACATGACAGGGCAGAACTCAAGAGCAGCCATTTCACTTTCACAGTGCCACATGGCCACTGTGAGGATGCTTTCCTTAGGCTCTGATTTGCTTTTTGGGCAGGTCTAGTTTTTATACGGGGAAGAATTTTCTCTGTCCCTAGTTTTTGTTCCTGGATGACCTGTCACCCTGCTGTAAGGAGAAATCGAATATGTGCTAGCGGTGTAGACAGAGGTCTCAGTGCAGCCAGGAACGATGAGGCTGGCCTGCACTCTGCTGCAGACCTGCCCTCCCAGTGTGCTGGGCTCTCACCCAAGAGGGGCTGTGACAAACTAGTGCATGGGGAAGGCAGCAGGCACAGGCAGAGGCTCTGGGAGAAGGGAGGATATGCAGAGACTTTCAGGCATCACACTTCCCTCGAGGACCTTCAGGGCAAGGCATATGTGGTCCTGAGTCTCCAGAAAGGGGGATTATGGGCAGACAGAGACAAGCCCTGGGAGGGAAGAAATTTTGCAGAAGAGCTAATAAAAAATTAGGACAACCCAAAGCTGTCTCAATGTAATGAGTATCTTGTCACTGGGGGAGTCCAACCAAAGGCTGGACCACTGCCTGGCCAGGGAGGATTCTAACCTAGTGGGAGGACACTGAAACACACAAAAAGTAGGAGTACTTCTGCTCTCTGAGCTGCTGGCACCTGCATGCTTCACGTCTGCCATCAGACTTGATGGCTTACAGAATCTGGTCAGTCATGGCAGTGAAGGAAAATTCAGTGTATTAGACTGCAGCTTGGCAGGCCAGGCAGTGGTGGCTAAAGCCAGAGAGGCATAATTGGATCAAGGCATTGGCATTAGCAACAAGCTATACTGCATTAGACTCCGTGGTGAGGCCAGGACCCTGAGTTCCCCACTGCTTTGGGCAGTGCTACCACCCCATTCACTGCCCAGAGATAAGCTTGTGACCTGGCTGAACGGCCTCTTCTAGGCTGCAAGAAGCAAAGAAAGCCATGGGACTCAGGTCACCAATCTTTCCTACAGCCCCTGGCAGCCTGCAAACTCCAAGGCATTGGTCATGCTGGGTCATCGCTCTTTCTGTCAGTCTCTGAGTTCTCCATGAGACTCAGTCCTCCTAGCATCCCAGTTGTTTAAAAGAACAGCCATGAAAGAACTAATTGATACACAATGGAGGGCAGGATGGAGCACCCCATGCTATGCTCAGAAATTCCTTCCACAGGACCAGAGCCTCATCAGCTGCCCAGATTTCTTGTTCATTCCATGGGAAAGTGCTGAGCCTGAACCAGGGAGGTCTGGATGGACACTGGAGTCTAACACAGCCCTGTCTGCAAGGGACAGCCAACTGAGTACCAGGACGTACCCAGTCTGGGTTGCTATTGAGGGAGTGCAGAAGGATTCCATTACCTGTTGCAGAATAAATGATACCACACCATTGCTGCTCTGAGAATCTGTTTCTCAAGTCCCTGTACAACAACCCCTAGTTACACAAACAGACCCAAGTGCCACATCACAGAAGGGTTCCTGAGGGCCAAGAACACAGTGTCCTTTCATCCCTGGCCTGTGTTGGTCCTTAGATAGTAAGGCCCTCCCAAGGGCTGGCAGCACCTTGGATCTGTCCCCACAGTGCAGGCTTGTAGTCCAGAGGGCCTGGTGTTATGGCAGGGCAGTGGGGACTAGCCTCCCCCAGCTTCCCCACTTCCTGGCTTGGGGCCTCCATGCTGCTTTTTTGAGCTTCAGTGCCATATCATTGTTACCTTCTCTGTTCCTGCCATCATCTCTGTGGTTTGATTGAAGTCCAATTTAAGAGACCTATTGTCCAAAATTCCAGACAGGCATCCTGTCCTGCCACTTACTGCTTATTGTGTGACCTTGTACAAGTTCCTTCTCCGTATCTGCCCAATGAAGAACTAGACTTTGACTCCCCACATGTCTCTGTCTGTGGGCTCAGCTCCCTTTGTCCTTGGTATGCTCTGGCTGGTTGATCTGCACCTACCAGGCCAGAGAGGAAAGCCAGGAGAACTGGCCAGACCCTAGACAAGAACACTGCCGTCCGGCCCTGGTCTCCGTCGCTGCACCATCCTGTCAGGTCTGATTATCAGGACTGGAGTTTGGATGACTAGTCTGTGCCTGGGGTGTTGGAGATGGAAGATTTAGTTTTGCATGCTTGTCTAGAGCTGTTAGATCACCACCCCCAGAGGCCAGAAGGGTGGGCTCACCTGGTCATCCTTCCCTTGAAGAAGCCCAAAGGGGGCAAGTGCGTTAGACCATCTGGTGGCTGGGCTGGGCAGCCCACACCTAGGAGGCAGACTTGCTTCTCTGAGTGGCCACTGTATCACCTGTGATATTAGTCCAGCTGCCCACAGGGAGCAACGCTCAGGCTTTAATTACCTCAAGCACAAGTGGTTCAGCCCCAGTACTGTGTGTTGCAGCTGCTCTGGGTGCACACCAGTCTTCCAATCACTGTGTGAGGGGTATGGCTTCTCCCTTAGTCCAGCCTGCCTGCCAGAGTGAGGTGGGGAATGGCCTCCCTGTGCACCATGCTGTCAGGACCGGGTGCAAATTGACATTGGAATCCCAGCTATGCTGCTTCTCCAGCTCTGGCATTTTCACGAGAGCCTCCAGGCCTGCTGTGAATCTGTTCAGGGTAAAGAAAGCATTTGGCAGAGTCTGGCCTCAGAGGACAAGGCCCTCCACCCATTCCATCCTTCCTCAGAAGATATTTATAAAAGCCTTCTGTACCAGGCACTGGGCTGACCACCAGAAAGAGCCACAGTGAGGAGTGCCAGGTTCTGGGGCTCCAAGCCTGACCAGGTCAGCCGGTACCTCACTGCATGTGGGTCTGTCCACAAGGCCTTGGGAGCCCTGAGGTGGCATCCAAGTGGGTGGGCCCTACCACAGAGGGTCAGGAGCATCTGCAGTGAGGAGACTGCACTTGAAAAGAAGCCAGGCACAGTGGTGCACACCTGTAATCCCAGCTGCCTGGGAAACTGAGGTAGGAGTATCACAAGTTTGAAGCCAGCCTGGGCAACTTATCAAAACCTTGTCTCAATAAAAAATAAAAAGGGCTGGGAATGTGTAGCTCAGCGGTCAAGCTCACGTGGGTACCACCTCAGAACACAAATGAGAGGCAGACAGAAGTAGGAGTTCCCCAGAGAAGGCACAGCTACAGAGGTGTGAAAGAACTTCGGAAGGACACCTGTGCCTCCCAGGAGAGTTTGTCACAGTTCTCAGTGCCAAGGCATTGACTGAGACAGGCCACACTCAATCCAGCTCTCAGGCTCCTCCCTCACACTTCAACCCCTCTTCCCTTAGCCTCTTCACTGAGTGTCTGTAGAGCTCAGAGAGCGCCTGCGCACTCCACCCCTCTCAGAGGTCCTCCGTGAAACCGCCACTTCAAAGCCGAGGCAGAGATCCTGCCAAATCACTGTCGTCCTTTCCCTGTTCCCTCCTGCCTACAGAACCCTCCCTGGTCCCCACCTCCAGTAGTGGTGACAGATTGACCTCATACCCACCATTGGCCCCTGGGTGCACTCGCAAAGGGTTGGTACTTTAGAAGTTGGCAAGAAAATAGACACTCTTAACAATTTCCTGTCTCTGGAAAGGCAGGCATTAAGGAAAGGGATTTTTTTAAAAGTCATGAAAAATCTCATTAAAAGGGTTCTTCAGGCACTTTGGACTGTGAATGCCTCTTTACAAGTTCTGGTTACGTGTGTTTTTGCAAAAGAATCTGGAGAAGATGAGGGAAATGGCACTTCAAAGACTACAGGGTTTGCAGCTCTGGGAGAGCAGGCATCCTGCTAAGGCCCTTGGGATGGGGCATGCAGACTGGCACTTTTGAGGCCCGGGCAGGCTGGAAGCCGGTGGCCAGGGAAGCTGTTCGTTTTTCTCTTTTCTTTTCCTAACACCATAGCACTTTATCATTGAGCTGTATATCTCCAAGCCCTTTTTATTTTTTTGAGACAGGTGTTGGTGAGTTGCCAGCATTAGCCTCAAACTTGCAGTCCTGCTGCCTCAGCTTTCCCAGAAGCAGTGATTACACATGTGTACCATGATTCTCTTCACCAAGGACCCAGCCCTAGCTCTTTTGAGGCAGAGAGAGGTACCCTCCTCGTGGGGTGATTGGTTCCATAGATTCCTCACAGTTGGAGCCACTGGCTTTCAAATTCCCAAAGGCAAGTTGCCAACATCATTGTAAGTGTGGCCTCAGAGGGTTCTGGGGCCTGGCCTGTCACTGTCATGCCCACACACCCCCTTGAGCATTCAGATGTCTTCCTTGTCCCTTTAAGCTCTGCCCCATTCAGTGACAGCTGTTTGCTGAGGTCCTGCGGAATCCTACAACTTGAGGCTGGGAAGACACTGACACCTGTACTGGTGTAGAAAGTGTTCAGAGCTGCCCAAGGTAGAAAGTACTCGTGACAGAGAACCCTGAGTGAAAGATGAGCAGCCTTAGCTTGGGAACAGCAGAGGGAAATCCAGAGGCTAAGAAGCACTACACTTGTATAAGCAGCAGTATTAAGCTGGTCATGGTGGCACAGATATGTAATCCCAGTAGGCTGAGGCAGGAAGATTGCTGTGATTTCAAGGCCACCCTGAACTACATAGTGAGACCGAGAACTAGTGTCGCATTGGTACCCTCCAGGAAATG